AGAGGAAAAAAAGAGCCCTGTTTTTTGTTTGCTTATATATTTGATAAAAACCGTAGTAAGTAGGATGAGATAGTTCAGAAACAGCAAGAAAGACATATTGTTCCTGAATAAATACTTTATCTGGACTGATTATTGTATGAAGCTTCTGTATTGTTTCCTTTTCATGGATTTTATGTAACACATACATCCCGCCTCTTCAGCAGCCTTTCTAATAACCTGCTTCAGACAGGGTGCTAGAGACTCGCACACGGTCTGAGAAAGTTTCTCCTTTTTAGAAGCAAATCTCCACACGCTGCACTAAGGTCGCACAAGTATCATCGCTATAGTAAATGTGCTCAGTTTGCTCCCTGCAAGGCTCGGGGACCCTGGCACTAACAGGCCAAGCTGATGGCCCTGCTCCTGCCTGTGCAGTTGAGGAGCCTCAGCTCACCTCTGCCGCGAGTCCTGTGCCGCCCAGAGGCCGCCGTGGCATTGGCTCGGTGCTGCGGATGGCGGTGGGGCAAACACGCCGGTTGCTGAGGAGGAGGATAGGCTGCGATGGAGGTCCCTGAGGACTGCTGGGGCTGTGCTGGCTCTGCAGTGCCTACAGAAGCAAAAGACCGGTAGAGATGTTTGCACTCACATCGGCAGACGTGAGTGCATACATACTATTATTTACAGAGTAAAACTGTGTTTAGTTTCAGTGAAAAATTCTGAGGACCTTCTGGATGGAAGTTCCTGTGTAGCATTAGCAGCAAAAAGGACGGCTCAGGTTTACTTTTATCAGCTTGCTCAGTCCCTGAGAGTTTTAAAGTGCAAGTTGGTTAGTTCCTTTTAAACGTCTTCTACTATTGCTTTTTAAGGGTATTTTCCTCTCTTCAAAAAGGAGGTATGTGTTTCACTCTAGTCCATTTTGTTCTCCTAGTATTTGCGCTGGGTGTGTTTTGTATCCTTCTGTTGCCTATTAATTCATTCGTCTGTTCAGGTTGTCTGTTGAGGCACATGGCAGAACTTTCTCTCCTTTGTAGATCTAAAGTGTCTTTAGCCTGTCATCTTGTTGCTAGCTCTCGACCACGGGCTGTGCCTTTGCTGCGAGAATTGGCTGTTCCTTCGGCCTGGCCATGCTGTTGTGATGCAGATGTTAATAAATGGTGTGTGTGTGATCTGGAGCTGAACTAAGCATATAGGTTTTCCTACTCTGTATTTCCTTTAATGAGCTATCTACCCTTGCCCTTCTATTCTGTGTGGAGAATATGCTACTAAAACCGTGCCAGTTTAGTATGCCATACCTCTGATTTCCCAGTCAAATTCTATTATTTGTGGGATGATATTCCCTCTGGAGCACGAGACGACGGTGGAAGGCAGGCTAATTGATTCAGCACTTTGCCCCTGCCTCTGAGCGTAACACTTAACTGTAATAATTGTGAAAGAGAAGAATTTACCCAGAGTTATCAGCTATCACAGAACTCTGTGTGTGATATATATACTGCATGAACTGTCAGCTATTCAGAATGTAGCAATATATTTCTACTGTTTAATGCACTTTCCCAACTAATATCTGTAGTTTCACATGTTACTGCAGCATAATGCTCATAGCGTATAAATATGCGTGTGGGTGGGAGTTAATAAAGTCATGCCTGTAGCTGCTACATGGCAGCTGTATTCAGTGCACTCAGGAATCATGGCTTATTATTCCTGTCTCGTTTTCCCAGTTTAGAACCAGTAAGACCTTATTATAAAGGCTCTTTCCATTAGTGTAACTGTACCCACTGCAAAAATAATGAGTGTTAACTTTTGTACAAAACAACAGAGCAAGCGTAAAGCACAAGTCTCTGTAATGTGCACTGGCAGAATTACATTCCCGAAGAAAGCTGATTAACTAAAGAAATAATATTCAGAAAAGAAGTAGCCATTGTGGTTGCTTTTAGGAGAATATTTCATTTAAACATTAAGATGTCTATTTCCGGTATATACCTCTAAGAAATAAATATTGCTTTTGCAAATTGGAGTGTAAAGCAGCAGGAGCCTACAGAGTTTTGGAGGACTTTTATTTTTAGCTAAGCGTGATTCCAATTTGGAAAAAGAGGAAAGGCTACATCTTCATTGTCTCATGAAAATTAACACATTCAGCTAGAAGGAGATGTGATTCTTTTTATTGATATCCATACAGCGGTTTATAATTTTTCTTAGAAGCTGGTATTTTCTCTATTAATACCATCCTCCCACCTCCCTTTTAGTTCCTCTTTTGTGTTAGCAGACAGCTTTCCTCCTTTCTGTCTTGAATACATTTTTGTTGCAGTTTTTCTTGAAAATATTTCATGAATGTTAATGATGTAAACAGGTAAAAATTTGAGTAAAGCATCTCTGTTCTTGTAAATAGCCAAAGCTCTTAGCAGAGCTCTGTCTTTGTGGTGGTGATTGATAGGAATTACGAGAATTAACTTGCTTTCCCAGCTACCTGCAATTATAGTCAGCCTCCACCTATATAGTCATGTAATAGAGTCTCCAACCTCACCCACCCTGTGTGGAAGATATTACCGGAATAAGAATGGACTCTTCTCCCCAGGCACATGCCATTTGTCCATTCTGGAGCGTATGCTTTATTTTGTTTGAGGGTCATGCATGTTTTAAGGTGAATAGATTTCAATCTGTCCTTTATCTGCATGTATATGTTGCTGGAAGGCTGAGCAGGGCTGAATACTATCAGAAGTTGTTTATGGACTGTAGAAGAGACTGTGCGAGGTCTTGTTTTTGTAAGTGTATTCTGCTTAACCAGATATTTTTTGATGCAGCAGTAGACTCTTTTTTCAGTGCCTGAAATTGCACTGAACGCCTGCTCTTAGATACTCAACTACTGCTTTGCTTCTTGCTGCCACTCTCAAAAAGTGCAAGAGTGTCCTGTAGCTCTTGTCCTGTCTGCCAGTTGAAAGCAAATGTCTCATGTTTTCTATAGTGTCTCAAATGACACGATGCATTTGTGAGAGAGGAGCATTTCTTTCTGTTCCTGTAGTTATTTGTCACTGGGAAAGCCTGAAGAATTTTAGACCTCTAGCTCTCTTCTTAATATCCAAAGTAAGATTTTATTACTCCAAAATTTGCTTCTCCTTGTTTTTACTTCGAAATATGTAAAATAAGTGGCATCCACTTGTTTTTGTCTAGAGTGCTTTCTGTAGCAAAGTAACTTATTGAAACAGCACTAGGAAGCTTAACTGCCATTTAACTCAATTTAAGTGTAGGAAAATGTCAGTGGTGAAGCTCAAGCTGTTTGGCTTTTGTGAAGATACATATGGCATGTGACTCACAACGGGTGTATTTTATGGTTGGTATAATTCATATTTTGGAACAGAGAGGTAAACTTTTATTTGGAAAGTCTTCATATATTCACTATTTAGCCTTCTTGTTTTAAGATGCTGTTTAGTACCAAACATGTTGGAGTTTATGGAACAATTTTCCGTTTTCAAATTGAATTTCTGTATATTGCATTCTGGACTCTCTATGCATGATCACCTCTGAACATATTTCAAAAGGATGGCCATGGAGTTTGGAAACACTTTGAAAAGGCTGCCAAAGCTAGGCTTTTCTGGAGTAGCCGGAGGGGACTTTTTTTGTTCCTTATATGTCGCCCTCAGACATAACAATACTGTATCCAGAAAACTAATTAATTCTTTTTCCGCAGACTGTAGTAGCTCTAGTAACAAAATTGAAGAGCAAGCGAGGAATATATTGAGCAGAAACAATAGGCCTCTTGCTTAAAAATAACAAATAAAATTCCAAAGCTCTCCCTAAGACTAGTTTAAGCTCAAAAAATGTGTGTTTTGAACCTAGATTTTCTTCCCTACATTCATATTAGTTCCAAAATTTGCAGCTGCATAAACTTTAAGAGGGCTATTTATTTTTCTAATTATATGTAGATGACTGAGATGTTTTTTGTCTCTGGGAGGAACAACTGTGAAGTACCTCTAAAATGATGAAAACAAACTTGCCATTGCCTAGATTATTGGATGAATGCTTGCTTGATGTACTTGCAGTATAAACAAATTATTGATTGTCAATTTAAATTTATTTCAAGGTTGGAGAATCTTGACTCTGTATTTTTAAGTAGGATGTGTAAAGCTCTCATTTCAGATCCAGCTTTGATACTGCCATTCACTATGCACAAGTGTGAGCTAGCTGTGATGATGTGTCTAGGTCTCTGCACATACGCTGAAAGCTGAATCAGTGGATCAAATGACAGAGAGTCCTCACTTACCATTGCTATCACAAATACATCACACGTTTTTATTTTAAAGGGGGAAGATGTGATAATCTTTGTTTCCAGGAATACAGGTACATTTAGGCGATGACAAGAAAGTAGGCTTTTTTCTATTAAAAGTGTAAAATGTGCAAAGCCGCCGGTGATAACAAAGCAGAAAGAGGCCATGTCTGCACTCCGGGCTTTTGCCTGCATCAGTATATTGACAGGTATTGGGAGACGTGATAGAAGCGCCGACTAACATTGCTGTCCTGACACTAGAGTCACCAATGTAACTGCAAATTCTGGTTCCCCTTCTGCCCTTGCCTAGCAAAGCTCTTGTCAGGTGGTTTATCAGGTGGCTTTAAGACACTAACATAAACATGGCTTTGCTGGTATAGCTTCCTCTCTACTAGTCTCTCTTTGATTTGTATGCAAAACTGTAAAATGCCTTCATAGTCGACAGAGTCATTTGAAATGCATTATGAATATCCAAGAGGTGGATTTTGCATTTATAATTGCAAATTTTTCCATTCTTCCTAGAAGTTCTGGAATTCTCCATTTGCAAAGTGCACAGAAAAAAATCTCTTTCTGGTTAAAGCTGTGTGTTGTGTGACTTGGTTAAAAAACAAACAAACCAAGAGTTTTAACTGCATTTTATAAGATCTATTTCAGTGGAACCACTGTTGGACTCACTGAGGTTTGGTTATTCTTTCTTTAAACAGGCAACATCTTTTATCAGCCAAAGAACAAGTCATTTGATTAATGATCATTTTTATCTCTTTGAAAGGATCCTTTCCGACCATTGGGGTGAAGTCTCTTTCGAGATTCCTGAGGGCAGGATTTTTAAATAGCATCCTGGCCCCACATCCAGTGTCAGGGGGTGGATCTTTACCCCCCAGCATTTCTTCTGGTAGGTATTCCAGCCTATTCCCCCCCCCATCAATTTTTCCCCTCACCCTTTGCTCCATCTCTTCACACCTCTTGGGGAACAAAATCAGGTACTGGTCAGACAGGGGGATCAGATACCTCTTTCAATAAAAAGCCAAGCTGAAAGGAACTGGAAAAGAGAACAGAAATTATTCTTCAGGATCTGGCTTGTTCCCTGAACTCAGGTATAGGAGAAAGTGTGAGGGAGTGATCTATAGTTAAGTGATCAACCAAAATTTTGAAAGATAAGGCATGGTATCCTCTAACCAAGCACTTCATGGAGCATGCCTGTGTGCACCAGGGAAGAATAACTTTTAAAATGCCTCTGTGAAATCCCAGTTTTTCTGTGACTGCGAATGTAGATATTTTTCTCTAAAAAAATGTGCATTTCCTTACTAAAATATGGAAGCGAAACAAATTGGGAAAGGCAAAAATCAGTTATACTCTGAAGTGTTTGAATGCTTTATATGCTTCCATACTTGCAGATTGTATCTCCTGAAAATGATTTTGGCCTTAATTTTTTTAAATAATTTTCATCGTAGTTTGAGCTGCTCTAATTCTCTTTCAAAGTAAGTGAGAAAATCCCATGGCTTGTTTTGTCAGCAAAATATTCTACGCTGCCTCTAGCTAGGTCCCCAACAGAGGCATAGCTGAATGATGACCTGAAGGACCCAGAAGGGCTGGCATAAAGTTGAATGTATGCTAAGTAGGCGAACCTAATGCCAGGTAGATAGGCGGTTATCAGATACTGGGCTGAAACAGAAAAGAATGATAGGTTAGAGGCATAATATTTCCCAGAAAGGCTGTATATGCTGTTCATTCTCTTCTGGAGCTGTTAAATACCATCTGGCACCAAAGCTAATAAATGAAGAGTAAATAAATGCATCTTAATTATGTTTAAAATTAAATTAAAATCAGGGTTCAGTTCTGTTCCTTTCCCAAATACATATTTCTATGTAGAATTAATTTCTGCAGGGGCTGATGTCATGCTGAGGTCCTTTCAGGCCATCCCACCTGTAATGTTAATTGCAGTCTTTCTTAAAGAGGAAAAATTCTCTTATGATGAGAGTAGGGATCCGAGAAAAAACGGTGTATATGTTATTGGTTTGCTCTACAGAAGAAACTATTACACTTCCCTGTGCCTCATTTTATCCATTGTGATAATTATAGGGCTTATTAATAAAAGATGACTCTTGCTATTTTTTTAAGAAGTACTATTACTCATTAGTTCACTTTCCTACTTTGAATGGACGCTTTTAAGCAATTTTAATGTCTTCTACTGTGACTATTTGGGTGTGTCTTTTGTGAACAGTCTGTAAAACACTTCCCATATTTTTTGTCCTTGAGGTATCTCAGAGTGTTTAAGAAACATTAGGCTATTCTGGCGGTCAACATCACTATGACATTGGCGTCTGATACCAGACAGCTCTGTGGAAGAATAAATACTCCAGGCCCCATAAAATTTTGACTGTAGTGTTACACACAGCATACCGTTGCTTCTATTAGATTAAAATTCGCATAACTCCTCCTGTGAAGTGTCGTCTTACTTATGTACCTACAGGTTTATTTCGTTTGTTTAAAAGGTCCTCAGGACTTGTTTTCTCAGTGTTTGTAAAGTTTTTATCTCATATTTGGGGCTTCAGATCATAACTCTTAAGAAATATGGAGTTCTTTTAGTAAAACAGGTTCATAATTTCTTGCTATTAAAAGTCATTTACTAAGAATTATGATTCAATCTGATAAAATATTCAAAATAGGGGAAAGTGGAAATGCAGCTACAGTATGTGCAATGTATACCCTCGCAAGGTAATGGAACTAAATGTTATCATTTAATAGTGGCAACAGTAAAGAAAATGCATCCCAGCAGCAACCCCACAGAAACTTTCTATCTTCTGGAAGATGAGGTTTGTCAGGAAGCTGAAAGCCAGCGAGCAATTGTGATAAGTCCCGCAGATGAAATGTGTTCCCTTGAAAAAGAGTGCATGCTGGGGGGAAGGTGGCGTTAAACTCCACAGTGAAGGTCGAAAAGTACTGTTAACAAATGTACCCTAATGATCTTACCTGTAGCGCTGCTATTTAAGTGTTCCATTCTTACTTTAGCATACTTGGATTTACATGGAACATAATCTTAGTTCTTAATTGCCTCTCTTTGTTACAGAGATGACCAGAGGATGCCATTTCCATTTCATGGTAACTTTCTAAATTGCTAAGACAACCTTTGGTGTGCGTGTGAGCAAACGCCAACAGATTCACTATATTTTTTTTTTGCAGAAAACCAGTCTCTTCTTACTGAGGGGAGCACTGCTCTGGGATGTGAGAGACTCAGACTTGAATCTCTTACTCTGCATAATTCAGTGGAAAAACTATGTTCATCCTGAAATCCTTAATTGCTAATACAGACAGAGAAGGGACGTACGTTTTGTTCCTTCATGTCTAAAAACCTTGCACTAAACACCTGAACTTCTTTTCCGAATATTGCCTGACCAAGAAACAAAGATACCTGAGGCAAAAATACTCTAAGATGGTTCTTAAGCACTGTTATCTTGGCAGCCTCTGGCTCTTTGAAGGACAGCAGTAGGTAGGCAAAATCATCTACCGGTCGGATTCTTGATGCTTGCCTTGTCTGTGAGTCATTAAAAGTGAGAGAATGATTGTTTGCGTGTTTGTACGGGAGGGAAGCCAGCTGGATTGCTACTTCTGATAGCGCAGTGACCCTGCCTCAGTTATCGGAGACGCTGGACACATATTTGACAGTAGCTTTTAGAAGCCTAACAGACGCACTTAGCGTTTAATAACTTTGCTGAATTACAACGTAATTGCTTCACATATAGTTTATGTGTAAGATTTCAGTGAATTTAACTATGCAGAAGACTTAAAATGCCTGCATTATTCTGCTGTTAGGGTCATTGGGAACAAAGATAATGAGATGTTTTTTATTTACTGAAACCTTTAACTCAAGCTAAGTGGCAGATTTACTTGAAAATAATCAGCAAATTTATCCCCTACTCAAAGAGAAAATGCTTTTTCATCTGTCTTCTGCAAAATATACAGGGTATTTTCACCACAGGAGTTTTAAAGCCCAAAACAAAAACTGAACTGGAAAGCTTCCCTAAGAAGTTTCCTTTTTTCCCCTTGTACTTTTCTCTGAATAGCCTTTTTTTTTTTTTTTACTATTGCATTGACAGCTGATGTTCAGTTTTGTGTAATTTAGTATCTGATTTCACACCGTGCAGAGGTTCGCTTATGTAAGAGATTCGCTTCTGGTTGCCTCATTTGACCAACTAAAAATTGATTTATGTTGCTGGCATGAGGCTTACAAGCTTTCTGCATAAATAGATTTCCTCAATTCTATACATTTTTTAAGCCTAGACATGACTATACTAATGGACCAGTGCTTATATTTGATGGTTGTTTCAAAAGTTTGTCACTGCTATACAGCAGTTTCACTAGAAGCAAGGCTTTCAGCAGGCCTACAAATACCTATCCTAGATTTCTGCAAAAACAAGCTCCTTTTCAGACACTGGCTTCCCCTTGATTTAGCTATCATATATGTCACAAATTGTTTAGTTTCTAGTTAGCTCACCTGTTAACAGTACAGATTCATGGGACTTAGTTGTTTGATGTAGGTCTATAACCTAATACCTCGTGACAGAAGGATTCGCATAAGCAAAATACACTTTTTCTCAGGTGACCTCCGTGTAAAAATTAAATGTAATTCTTAAAACACTTACCAATTTACACTCCTCATCATACTTACACTGGCATGAGTTGTGGAAGCTTACCCTTTCCTTGATATTTATAACATGCACGTTATAAAAATAAAAAAATTAATAAACTGCCAATCTTTCATCTATTTCTTCAAATTCTAACTTTTCCAAGTATAACGTTTTTTGCTCCGTTTGGGGGAGATGCTTAGCTTACTACTCCTACTGTGTATTTGCAGCCCTTGATTTCAGTCATGTGAAAAGGGGTTGAGTTACCTAAATGCATACCCCTATTGTATAGCAGAAGTTATTGGTAGATAAATGTGTGTTACGCTGTCATCTTTGAAAGGTGTCAGAGAGATTGCCAAACCTGCTGGCTTGGAGAGGAAAGGAGGGAAAGTAAATACCTTCACTAGTATCTGCTTCAAGCTTTCCTGAGTTTTTCTGGTAACAGGAAAAACTAGGATGCATGTCAGTCTCTGAGAAGCTATGGAAAGGTCCCTTTAAGGTCCTTTTTCTTAAGGACCTCCCGCTGCCCCCCTGCTGCTTAGCATCCAAACTGCATTAGCAGGAGAGGGGGAGGAGAACATCAAAATTCCCCAAACCCCGTATTTCATCCACAGAGCACCTTTTTGAAGCTTCTGTGGAAATGTTCTTATGTGGCTTGTTTAATGATGTATGAGCAGCAGTTAATTTCCTACCACTTATTTTGCGAGGGTTAATTATCTGGCTATTTTACAGATAAGGATAATGGAAACAGAGACATTAAAGGCTTGAGGTTGCCTTTTCTTTCCAGAAACTTGAAAGTGATGCAGGACTGCTCACTGCTGTCTTGCACAAAGTAGTGACAGCAGTCCACTTCCAAATAAATTACTTTTTACAGAAGATATCCCCTTCTCAGTGCCTTACTGCCTGATTGTCTATGGCTGTTTGTTTAACATACACTGTAATATGCTCATTTATTACAGGGAGCTTCTCAAAAAACTCAGACATTATTGAAGAATATTAAATCAAATGATTATCAGTTTTCTTTTCTCCAAAATTAATATTTTATTACAATTTCCAAGTGCACCTGAGTGAGCCCATTATTCTTGATATTGTATAAACTAATAGTTGAGAGCAATCTGTATTGACAGACCCTTATTGAACAAAATTACTCAACAAGAACCATCAAGGAACAATTATTCATAGTGAAACTCAACTGTAATTTTATGGTACTCCAGTAATGAGAAAAGTAACCATTAATTTTTTTCTCAGCTAACGCATTTTTTCCTACTTT